GAAAGTAGTGAAAGAGGGATATGTGCAACTTTATTAACAAACAAGTTGAAAATATCTAAAAATAAGGAACAATTCTTGGATAACCACCTTCAATAATAAACAGTCCTGTGAAAAATCGATAGGCCTCCATGTCATGTAGTAATTTTGTATTTTGCGTAAGGGCAAGAAACTTGAAAATTAAAACATATCTGAACATAATATTAAAATCTCATGTCAAGAAAACACTCATTTTTGTTGCTCAACAGGTTCAACTATCAAGTAACTTTTCAGTTTTTGTATTTCACTTCATCTAACATAACCCTGGATGGTCCAGCAGGCAGCCCCTGACCAACACCCTCCATTTAGTTCAGGTGAATCCTGGAGCTGACACTGTTGTATTCATACTGCAGAAATCAATGCATCTGAAAGTTCATCTCCTACCCCACCATGCACATAGCCAAGCACTTAAAATTGTGAACCTCTATACAGTCTATAAAGAGAACCCCAGCATTAATATACTGCTTTCATCTCACTTTTCTGATATGGACAACTACCAGCTTGTGATCAAAATTGCTTTCTGATCCCAAGTTCAAAGCATTGCACCAAATTTTGGGCTGCCCAAGCACATTCTCTTCCTAGAGAAAGGCACAGGACAAAGTTCTTGGACGCTTCTCTAGAAGATCCAGGCAACATCGGGAACACTGCAGATCTGAGATCGTATCAAACGCATCACCTCAATTTAAATTGATGCTTTCCCAATTAATCACAATTACATATGCCTGCAGGTTCTCTCTGAACTGCTGCTCCCCAAAACTCTTTAGTTGCGGAGTGGTTCCTCAGTTAGCTCCCTAGACATGGGGCACTTTAGGTAGCCCTTTAGTAGGAGGTATGCTGACAATCTTTAAGAAAGGCTGTAATCCCTCTGAATGTCTCCTGTTGGCGATTGCACATCAGCCAGGACAAGAGGTTCCCAGACTTTTTAAAGGGATGTATCTATTTTCTGCCAGAGAAAAATCACATGAAGTCTTTACCTCTCATTAATGGCTCTCAGATTCCAGGTACTGATATTCATACAGATGTTGCATAGTCTATATGAAAAATATCTGAGTACATTCACAATGAATATTGGGATTAGATCCAAAGGCCAGGGAAGTTTCTACCTGTCTGGTGCACAAGCACTGCTTTAGTTCTTTCATTTTAAACTGGTTTTGGTTGGTTCTACAAAAGTAGTAACAGCGGAAGATGTGTCAAAAGCAACCAGCTTGGCCTGTTCGTATATCCTCTTTACAATATGGCTTTATTCTAAGACTTTATGGTATCTGAAATAGTGTCTGGCTTCCTTTAACACACTGTGAACATCCATCTCTACTGTATTCCATCCGTTTGGACTAAGATTTGACATCCAAGAGAAAACAGTGCTATTTTCACTCATAAGATCAAGAAGTTGATAGCCATGCCTGCTGTATGTTTTGCTGCGATGACAGAAATATGATTCTCTGTCCACTTGCAAAGATACAGAATCTCTTGGACTTGAAGTATGTCCTCAATCAGAGATGGAGATCCTTGAGGAACTGACCCCCAGACTGTCAAACATTATCAGAAGATTTCTAGGGCATATCTCAGAACTAGGACTGGGTACTCCATTACATAGTGCATTTTTGCCTATTCTTTGAGCAAATTTCCACACAAGGTATGGGGATTTCAAAGTACCCATATTAAGAAGTAAATCACAGAAAGGCTCATCAAACCGCAGGCACAAGTGAGGGGTTTTGCAGTTCTGTATCATCTGCATATGCCAAATGAGGGACTTTGTTCTATAGATACAAATGCAATGGATAGGTTGCATTGCTTCAAGAACAACAGAATTTTAAAAAAATTGTTTAAGCTTTACCTTTTCAGGTATTTTGAATATCCTCTGAAATATCTCATAATATAGTGGTCGGCAAACAGAAGAAAAGGAGGGAAGAAAAAAGGCTGAAAAGTATTCTGGAAACAAAAGACAGTTAATAATTCATGTTGTCTACAACTGCTTTGGCTCATAAGTCTCAAGACAGACTCTTGCTTCATAGCAAAAAAAAAAATAAATAAATCCTCTACCACCCTACCTTCTCTCCTCTACAATGTATGATGGAATCCAGAGTCACAAACTGCCTGCACTTCACAGGCAAAGGGCATGTCCTAAAGCAGTTAATTTCATGCCTCCCTGACACCCTGCAGGCAGCCTTTCCCCCTAAAGCAAAGAATCTCACAATATAGTTTTGTGTAACATTCTTTACATATTTTGACTTACACTCCCAAAGCACATTTATTTCAATCAGACTGTGCACATGGGGGTTTTGGGGGATTGTTGGGGTTTGGTTTTTTTAGTTTTTTCCTTAGCTTGATATTCTGAACTCTTCCTGGAGCTAGCCATTTTGATTAAAGATTTTGCTTTGTAATGAAAGAAAACCAAGTACTTCAACTTTGAAAGAGAAAAAGCAAAAAGAAGCAGCCAAAACATGTGATTCTTACTCTCCTTTCAAGAGTGACAAAACAGCATATGCAATTCAATACCCTGGATCAGCTAGTTTTATCTGAAAAAGAAGCTTATTATGTAAGTTAACAGTTATTATGATTAAAACCTACATAATGCCAATTTCCTTTGTAAAGCCCCAATGGTGCCCATACGAGTCACCTTCACATTTTGGGAACATGGGCATGGGGCAACATAGGTCACCAGTTATCAGTCTTTGTTCTATTTCACAATACATTCATGATTCTCTGTACTTTCAATGGCAAATACATCATGCTTGGTTGGCTGATGCTGGTATCTGACATTCCATGATTACTTTGGCTTCAAAGTGAGACAGTAATGCACATTTGTGTTACTCTCCCTTTAACGTAGTACAAAGCTGGACACAGCTCAGAAAAAAAATCCCTAAAATCCATTAATTATTTATGATCATGTACAAATGGATATTTATCATGTTAAAAGAGAACCATATGTTAAAGTGGAGGCTAGAGCCCAATAAATCTTCTTGGATGAAACCCCTTTTCAAAAAAAGGAATAAAATAATTAACATTTGCTTTTGCCAGCAGAAACGAAACATTTGCTCATGAATCTCCTGGGAAGGGAAGGGCATTTAACCTTTTTTACATGCCATCCCCTCAGACATCTCTGACCCCCACTGCAAAATAGACAACAAAGATTCCCGACTCCACGCTGCTGATTAAACCCCTTGTAAGAAACATCTGGATGAAATTTTCTTGGCAGTTGATTTGAAAAGTATACAAGAAGCAGAACTAGGGAGCAGCCATAGTTCAGCCGAGTGACACAAAGATGATGCTATACAAAAGCAGATTTTTCCTTGAACACATTAACTTCTAAATATTAGCTTGTGACAGCACAAGCAACATCATTAGTAGAAGAAAAATAAATCCCTCTTCTACTCTCCATGCCAGTGTAGACAAGGCAAATGGGCTTTGAAAGAAACCCAACTCGACAAACTCTTTTTTCTTTTTAATAAAATAATAAAGGGCTTAAACAGTTTACCTGCCTAATACCTAACTTCAGTTGTCAGGTAAGAGAGAACTTGTCCATGTCCCTAACTTCCAAAAAACATTTCTTGAATTTGTGAAGGATTTCAAAACTTCAATGGTTTCTGAGAAACTCACCAACAAACTGGATGTAATGCCTCTTACCATCTCAGTCAATAAACTCCCAGGCCTAAATTAGCAAAAGCGACCTATAATTTTCATGGCCTGACATTAAAAATAAAGGACGTCCTGGCTTCCGCTGCTTGAGCTTGAAGAGCCTGTCCAATGCAGCTCAATGTATTGTTCCCTTTTGGAAAAACAGACCCTGCAACTCTCAGTTTTCCATATGTACAACAGAACTAAAAGTGAGAAATTTTTACTGATGCTATTAAGTGAGTAGCAGCACTGAAAAACCTACATGGACCAGGTCAACTTTAATCTGCAGCTGCTGCGTGCGAGGCGGGGGGGGCGGGCAGTGGAAGAAAAGGCTGCAGCAGCAGAGAACAGCATCAGAGAGAGTCTGACACAAAGATGCAGGAAAAAGGAAAGCAGCAGGGAACCTTCTGCCCCACAGCTGCCAGGCTGAGAAAATTCCAGGGGATGGGGCAAGGAACAGACAGAGACACTTTGGCCTTTTCCAGAAGCCAAGTCATAGAGCACTTCAGATTTGTCAGACTGAATTATAATTACTCTGACATATAAAAAATGAAAGCTTCAGCACACTGCAGGGCCAGCAATCTATAATTCGCTACAGTCATTGAAAATTTCATGGGGTATGGGAAGGGCTTTGACTTTTCAGTTGGGGCACTGCTCTAAAGAAATACATTATCAGTATGTGCTTAAAATTCCTTGGTAAATATTTTTAAATCATAAAGAAATTAACACATAGAGACAAAATCTGGTCTAAACATTTTATCTCCAATCCAAACTTCACATTCTAAAGCACGCCTACTAATTTTGGCTACATCACTGCGATCCCAATAGATCTAAAGGAGGGGTACCTATTCAACTTAGTACTGCTATCAGTTTCTCACTAAATAAACATATTCACAAACACCTGGTTATATGTCTTTCAATTTATGAAAAATCAGTCTTTGAAATTTAGGAAAAAATCTGGACAAGAAGAGCCAAAAGGAATGCAGACCAGAAATGCAATCACAGAAGTATAAGAGTAGGAAGAAATAAGTTTGGAGCTGTTTTTCTTCTATCAAGATAAATAAAATACTGTAAATATTTTGTACCACACTACCCAGTACTACCACTAGAATGGTAATGAATGAATAAAAACAGAAAAGAAGCTCACAGAATCCCAAATAAAATCCAATATTCATCAAAAATAATGGAAACAAAAAGTTGTCATGTAGAACATCCACATGCCAGGGGCACACCACTTGCCTAGGCAGGAGGTAATATATGTAGATTTAGGGTAGCCACTGGCCATGCGTGCCATCATAACTCAAGTGAATTGATTTCATGGCTAAGAGAAATAATTTAAGACTACTGCATCAAGGGAAAATCTGCAATTTTGTTAAGACTCTTTGATGTAACCAGTGTATGCTCTGCAACTCCAACAGACACCTCCCTCTACACATTTGGTCTGCAACAAATAGGGAAGATGAGATCATATTCTGAATCCAGCAATGTGTATGCAATCAACAAACAATTAAACTGAGTAGTTAAAAGCAAGTGACTGGAAAACATGGAACCAAGGCTTACAGTGTATCAAGAAATGTCCTTACACTTAAAAAATGATAATGCACTCCAAAATCCATTTGTTCAGGCAATCCATGTACAACAGAAGGCACTGTTATCCATATGAATCTATCAATTCTGCACAGCAAAAACCTGAGAAGTGCAACTAATTAGATGCAGCCTGGCCCCTCCCAGCCATTCAGGTTCCTTGAGAACAAATGTTTCCTTTCAGTCCATCAAATTATAAAACACCACAAGAATTTGTACATTACAGTAGCTGGTTAGAAAGAGCATTCTGGTGGGGGAAGCACACTGCTATTTTCCAGAAAACCTTCAGCAGCATTAAATTACCCTCCCCTATCACTCAGAAGTCACGATGATTTCAAGAAAATGCAATGATGAGACCCTTCCCATTGACCTTTGTAGCTGATCCTTCAGTTGCCACCAGGAGTACTTCCAGCAAAGTTAAATGCGGTGATCAGTCCTTTGTTGTCAAATGTGTAGCCACTTTGTTGTTCTATTGTCTTAGTCTCTAGAATTCAGAGAAGGTAAAGAAAATGAAAAATAGCCGATAGAGAACGCTTTTGCCAGAGACAATATAGCTCAGCTAAGAATGCAAAGGTGTGGAAAAAACTCTCAGTTGAGTCAAAATTTCATTCCCTAAATACAGGAACGATAAGAAATCACACCTAGATTTTCTCTAAATGCATAAACACACACACTTCTACAACAGAGCTGAGAAATTAATCTTCTCCAGAATCAGTCTATGTTACACTATTCTGTGTGCTTTTTGATTAAACCTGAATTTATTTTCCATGATGCAAGCTTTCTAAACATCTAAAACCTTACACTGACCGTGAAGGCAATATTAGCGGTTAAAAAGTTACAAAACTGTTAAACACATAATAATCTATAGTAATCATCATCAAATGCCTCGCTGACAGCTAGATATTGCCTTAATTTGCTCTTCATTTCAAATGTCAGATTGTGCAAAACTAGTTCATACCCTCTTCAAACAGTAGCACATGTCAATGAGAAGGCAATTAATTAGGAGCAACCGTATCGCTGTAAGTAACACACACTTCCAGGCAAGGGATAATATAAGCACAATATCCTGCTCACACTTCTTAGGAAATGTTAATTAGCACAGAGATTTATTCTCTCTGTTGTTACAGATTAGATGCAGTTCCAACATCCCTGCAACAGATAAAATTGCCCCAGAGAAGTGACTCACCTGCAGCATTTCGCCGGTGTTCTGCTAATGTATAAATTTCCTGCAGCTGTTTCTTCTGATCCTCACTCAACGGTGCTGTCAGCAAATGGTACCAGGCTGCATCTCGGCTCTGCACCGCTGCCGGAACAGGAGTGGATGAAAAGTGATTATCAGGTTACATTGCAAGTTAATTTCAGAAGAACAAAATGAAACACATGAAATCCCTGGTTAGTTTTAAAACAGAATTTGCACTGCAAAACAGGTTCAGTATTCCTCTCAGTCTTCTAGGCACAGAATCCTCACTGTAATACAGGCAGTCCATTTTGGGGAACTTAATTACATCCTCTGCTTTCTGAAACAGAAAGTTAACCACGTGGCCATTATTCATGGACAATGATGAAGTGAATCTTCTAATTTAAAACTCATACCAAAACTAAAAGCAACAGGATGAATCAAACAGGAAAGGGAGAAAATAATTTCTCCACTATGATTTTAATATCTAGGAAGTGACAAATATTTCTATATATAGGAGTCCCTCTAGTGACCAAGTCCCACTTATTTAGGCTGTGACTGAAAAGTTCTGAAAGAGAACATGAAGAGAATTAATCTCTAGCTGTATTTGCTACCTTTTGGTTTTTGCAGCAGTTGTAAGCCAAAAAAATCTTAGGACTAACATTAGAAAGCAAGATCACATTTTCCAGATTCACTAATTTAAATTATAACATGTAACAAAGAAAAGGGTTTTTCCCGGTGATTATCCAAATTACTTCATCATGTAATATCATTCTGCCACCTAACAAACACGTACTTAAAAGTGCTTGTGTAAAAAACTGGTATTCATCAACACCATTTTCAAGGTCAAGAGGTGTGCTGAACCCTTCAAGAGCAGTCTCTTCCAATGCATCTTCATCCCAGTCATCATCATCATCATCATCTTCATCTTCTTCCTCTCCACCACCTCCACCACCTCCTCCTCCTCCTCCACCATGGTTCTCTTGCATTGCCTGGCTCACTTCATTTGCCTCTTCCTCATCACTCGGTATCTCTTCTGCAAAAGCATTGATGTGTTTTGCAAAAAAAAGTTTAAAAAGTATACAGAAACAATGACTTATGAGTGAAGAACAATTAATAAAACTAGGTTTTGGCTGGAAAGGGGACCCTCTGTTAACACCCTTCCCCCAAAATTTTAGAAGAATTGGAAAAATGAAGCTGTTAAAATGTTTCCTACATTCAAATTCAGTTAAATTTTGTTTCTAAGCACACCTGGGGAATGTGAAACCGCCATCTTTTTTCTTCTTCCATCTGTGCAGTCACTGTGCAATTATAGGATCCAAACACTTTGAGGAAATGTGTCTTTGACAAAGTGTTCCATCACTGTGCTTTTTACATTACAAACAAATAGAAACTTGCATAGACTCCACAAACTGACACAAAACAAATAGAAAACTAGATGTAGGCCAAATGACTGCCTGCTATTCTTCAGAGTGCTCCTTTATTTGAATAAACTTGAAATAGCATCTTTTGCTTAGCTTTACCTTCCATTTTGCTTATGAAATAACTATTACATCCTGAATTAAATGCAACTCCAACATGCAATTCTAAACACTGCTATTTCTTACTTAAGGAAAAGTATTTCTGACTTATAATCAAGATTAAAAAAAATCACCCTCCAATTCCAAACCTTCAGCTCTTTCTGTGTTAACAGTTTAGAAAGAATAAAGATGACTATTCCTGCAACAAGCAGGGATTGAATCACAGGACGGAGATCTGAAAATCTGCTGTTTCCATACTGTATTCCTATGCATTGAGAAGAATTCTGTAATTCCACTACAGAACAACCATGTGTGAAACTTGAGTGGATTACATAACTCGCTTACATCCAATCTCATTTTCAGACCTCAAATCATCTATCTCCTGTTCCAAGTCAAATACAGCCACACATATCTGCCTGCAATGCTGGGTAAAATTCACTCCCCACAATTCCCTCCACAAAGTGTTCTTGGATGTTTTTTCTCTTCTGGCAGACACAGCAGTAAGAGATCTGTCTACTCCATGAACCTCCGCTGTCTAAAACCCCGCTTTGCAAATCACCTTCCATTCGGACAGAGAAGACTTGCTAGGATTTCTTTCAAAGTTCAACCAAACAGGTCTTTCAAATTGTTGGGTACTAGGAACAGGTTCTTTCCAGGAATCAAGAATATAACCAGTGCAGTCCTGGCAAACTCCTCCTGCCTATGTGAGAAGACGGAGCACATTCACAACCCAGAAGAGTGGACTTGGAAGTTTTATTGTTACTCTTAAACAAATACTACCCTTCCACAAAGTGTTATCTGTTATACATTGAAACATTTCGATTATATTTTGGGAGGAAAAATCAATTCTTTCATGGTGATCTTTCAAGCACCAAGTAAGCCGAGCTATTTTCAGCAGACTAATGAGTCTTAAAAATGAACTGCAATTTCTTACCCCCTTTAAATTAAATCCAGACAAAATCCACAATGTGAAAAGGGGAGATTTTACCTTTATCTTCTGCAACGTGTTTTTCATCTTTAGCATGATCCTCATGTTCTGTGAGTTCTCGCGAGGCGCAAACTTGTTTTAAGCCCAGGAAGAGGAGGAGGATTGACGGGACAATCTGGGCAGCCACAGCATCCACTGCAGGCGGTCGGTTCTGCAATTCCATTAGGATGCTCAGTCCTATTATACACATCTTTCTGTCATGGAGTCTGAAACAACACGCACTTGTTAGACAAAAAACAGATCTTCACTGCAAGGATATGTAGAGAGCATTAAAGTCCTGGTGCTTGACACGGCAGAAGACAATGTCACAGACACTATGTTCAAAGTCTATGTTTGAAGCTCCTGAACACATTATTTCCTTTGTTCTGAATGCAAGTTCCCCACTGAAAAGTACTTGTCCAATAACAATATCTTTCAAGCACTGGTGAAATTCCTGGAACAACTGTTCCTGATTACCAAATGCAAAGTTTGTAATGCTAAATAAATACTGTTTAATAATTATGTAGAATATCTTGTCTTTAATAAAGCATTTGATACACATAATCATCATTAAATAGGATGGAAAATTAATTTGCCTTGGCTTTGATAGCAGTACTGTTGCAGGGATTGAAATTAACAAAAAGACTGACTATTAGTGAAGAGTAATGAT